TAACTGTAAATTAAAAACAGAACGTGTAACGTCCTAGAACAAGCTATAAAATCCTCTGCATCAAGCCAAAGTAAATAAGACCAAATATTTCACCATATAGTTCACATTTTGGCCACTTTCCTAAAGAGAAATTTATTTAGGTCATATTTGGCAGTGGTGGGAATTGAACCCAGGCCTCTTTCAATTTTGGCAACTTTCTTAAAAAGAATATTATTGAGTTCAAGATTGGCAGTGGTGGGATTTTAAGCCATGACTCTTTTGAGATTGGAGCATAAATCCAGCACCTTAGACCACTCGGCCACACTACAATGGAGCTGGAGTAGATGCGACAAGGTATTGCCAAAACTTTATATAGCTGTAAATTAAAAACAGAACGTGTAACGTCCTAGAAAAAGCTATAAAATTCTCTGCATCAAGCCAAAGTAAATAAGACCAAAAATTTTACAAAACGGTTCAAATTTTGGCATCTTTCTTAAAACCAATATTATTCAGGTCAAGTTTGGAAGTGGTGGGATTTGAAAACATGCCTTTTTTGGGACTGGAGCCTAAATCCAGCGCCTTAGACCACTCGGCCACACTACCATGGAACCGGAGTAGATGCGACAAGGATTTGGCAAAACTTTACATAACTGTAAATTAAAAACAGAACGTGTAATGTCCTAGAACAAGCTATAAAATCCTCTGCATCAAGCCAAAGTAAATAAGACCAAATATTTCACCATATAGTTCAAATTTTGGCCACTTTCCTAAAGAGAAATTTATTTAGGTCATATTTGGCAGTGGTGGGAATTGAACCCATGCCTCTTTCAATTTTGGCAACTTTCTTAAAAAGAATATTATTCAGGTCAAGATTGGCAGTGGTGGGATTTTAACCCATGCCTCTTTTGAGACTGGAGCCTAAATCCAGCGCCTTAGACCACTCGGCCACACTACCATGGAGCTAGAGTAGATGCGACAAGGTATTGCCAAAACTTTATATAGCTGTAAATTAAAAACAGAACGTGTAACGTCCTAGAACAAGCTATAAAATCCTCCGCATCAAGCCAAAGTAAAAAAGACCAAATAGTTTACCAAACGGTTCAAATTTTGGCATCTCTCTTAAAAAGAATATTATTCAGGTCAAGTTTGGCAGTGGTGGGATTTGAAACCACGCCTCTTTTGGGACTGGAGCCAAAATCTAGCGCCTTAGACCACTCGGCCACACAACCATGGAACTGGAATAGATGCGACAAGGTATTGGCAAAACTTTACATAACTGTAAATTAAAAACAGAATGTGTAACGTCCTAGAACAAGCTATAAACTCCTTTGCATCAAGCCAAAGTAAATAAGACCAAATATTTCACCATACAGTTCACATTTTGGCCACTTTCCTAAAGAAAAATTTATTCAGGTCATATTTGGCAGTGGTGGGAATTGAACCCATGCCTCTTTCAAGCCTGGAGCCTAGACATCCTAGAACAAGCTAAAAAAATCACATGCATCATCTAAATAAAAACAAATATTTCACCAAACTGTTCAAATTTTGGCAACTTCCTTGGAAAGAAACAGTTCAGGACAAATTTGGCAGTGGAGTGATTTGAACCCATGCCTCTTTTGAGACTGGAACCTAAACGTAGTGCCTTAGACCTCTGGCCAACAGTACCATGGAGAATTGAAAACAGAGTGTGGAATGTCCTGGAACAAGCTACAAAATATCGTGCATCAAGTAAAAAAAAAAAAACAAATATTTCCCAAACTGTTCAAGTTTTAGGATCTTCTTTTTAAAGAATCAAATCATGTCAAATTTGGTAGTGGTGGGATTAAAACCCATGCCTCTTTCGAGACTAGAGCCTAAATCCAGCGCCTTAGACCACTCGGCCACACTACCATGGAACTGGAGTAGATGCGACAAGGTATTGCCAAAACTTTATATAGATGTAAATTAAAAACAGAACGTGTAACGTCCTAGAACAAGCTATAAAATCCTCCGCATCAAGCCAAAGTAAATTAGACCAAATA